ATTGTTTAACCGTTGATTCAGATTTGAAATTACCACAGTGAGTGGCAGTTGGAGCATTGGATTATCTTTTCAATTGACATAACACCTTGATGTACAGAGTTAAAGTGAGTTTATTTGCTATACAATGGAACGGTTATCTTGAGGAGAAATGAGGATTCTTACCCATTTGTTGTAAAATAATGTTACTAGAAAAATAATGCCGACATGCTTATCCACGACATTTTTACACGGCCTGAATCTTTTAAAAATAGAATTTAAAAAAGTAACTGTAATGTGAACCAAATACGAGTATGTTAAAATAATGAGCAATATGCTCATAAGAAACTCTTGAGTATTTTTACTTTTTCTACTTTCGAATGCTCAGCATTTTAAATTAAGTTATTGCTGTTATATTGAAGCAAGTTTTGTTATATTTCATCTTTTAAGTACAGCATTTAGAGTTATGCTACCATTAAATCTCATTCATGTTTTGTGTACTCTCTTTTCATTTGTGGTTCTCTTGCAATTGGAGTGTATGTGTTGCATTACAACTTTCGTAAACTTCTTGTTTTGTTTCTTTGACTCTCAGGACTTTTATTTTTGCTCTTTGTAGTCGCGGCGCATTTATCGTTGGCGTAGTTACTATTTAGTTGTGAGACGTGCTCCCGTGAACTCGTTTGGCACGGTCACAGGAGCGGTAAAGGCGGGGGCGTTCTAGAAGGAAGATATTTCCTCACCTGCCTCCTTATAAATGCATGAGACAGCCGTTGAAAGTGCCTATTCAGCTTCTGGCCTTGTGTCAAGAAGCTAATCGATCCACTAATCGGATGGAGACGTTCGCTCTCGATGTCTGGTTTCCCTGTTCAAAACGCGAATCATTTTTTGGAGTTGTGAGAAGAGAGGAAGAAAAAATTGAATTCTCATAGGAATCAAGAGATTGGTTAAATTGTTTTAGACCAAACGATTTATTTTAGAATTTGTTAGTCTTCATTCCTATTCGGCCGTTCATGAATGTTACGGGAGGAAGCTCAAACTTCTATTGAATTTGTTTTTCGATATCGCCGTTGAAGATTCCCTAATTAAACACTTCGGATGTTTAGTTTTAATTAAGAGATATTTTAAATATAGAAACCAAATTTCCTTTATTGAAGTTCACTTGTAAGCATTTGTTGATCAGGGGCGCACACTTATTAAACATTTGTGGCAATATCCAATTTCATTTTCGTTTATTAAAAATTGCTGACTCTCAAATTTTATTTTGATCAAACCAGTGTCGATATTGAAGGTACGCACTGGGATGTCGTAAATTATTATCGCCCATATTTACATTGAAGTGTGTTATATTAAGAGGGAGTCGAAACTTGTAATGAATATTGCTTGTTAGAGTTGGTAATTCGGTTATTTGTGTTTCCTCTTTCTTTCGTGATTAGACAAAAACATGTCCACGGCGTCCATTAGATTCTTCCGATTGCTCATTTCTTCGATCTGCATCCTGTCGGGAAACACTGAATCTCTCCGGTAAATATTGAAACTATATTAAAAAATCGGAAAATCGTTTAATGGCATTGAGTGATGATTCAGTGAACACCTCGTACTATTAAAATTGCACGAACAACTCTTCCCAACCAGTGCGTTTGTTTATTGAACCGAATTCGGGCAGAGAAGTTCGTATTTTGTTTCTCGCTCAAAGAGTCCCGGAGACGTCCGCTTTGCAGGTTCCCTTTGTGTGGCGAGAGGGGGAGAGTTCGGTTACTTTGATCAACTACTTTCCGAGTTCGCGCACGTGGCGATTCCGAGGAGGTTCCTTTTCGGGGTGCGCTCGACCTACTAACGAATCGAACGCCCCCCCCCCCCCGCCAGAGACGTTGTCTCCCTGCGCACGCACTCTCACGCGCCTGGGCCGCGCGAGCGCCACGCTTCGCCCACCGTCTCCATTCCGGCCCGGACCCCGACGCCACCCGCTCGCGAACGCCGCCGGCGCCAGAGCGACTGTCCTATATCCGCGGGCGCGGGTGGCCGTTTGTGGGCCACGGGAGGCGGTCGCCGCGGGGGCGACAACCCGCTAGCACCGCCGCCGGAGGTTGGTCGGGGAGGTTGGCAGACGTGCGGCGCGAGGGGGGC